CCTATCTGCCCCTGGCATTCCGTCTCCGCCAGGGCAGATGGGGGTGGGGGTGGGGGTGCCTCAGGCGCAGGTCAAGACCCAGCTAAGCTTTTGTCCATGTGACAACCACCCAGCCGCTGATCTCCCTGGGCACGGGGCTTGGCAAGCTTGTTCTTCATGACTAGTCAGAGAGGGGAGAGTCTAGGCTTTGTGGGCCAGATGCTGCCGCTGCTGCTGCCCACTGCCGCAGCTCCCAGCCCGGCTATGCTATCGTGGCGTGAAGCAGCTGCAGGAGCAGTAAACAAGTGGGCGTGGCCATGTGCCCGTAAAGCTTTGTGCACTAAGCTGGGCGGGGAGGCGCTGCGGAATACCACCAGTACCAGCTGCCGGCCCCTCGTTTGGGACTCTCCCCGGCACCAGGCAGGGATCGTGCACCCTCAGAACAAGACTGGCCGCACCCACAGGCCATTGGACAGGGGCTGAGCAAGGGACGTGGTATGCCCGACTGGCTGCCCACTGGAGTGCCCAGTGCACCCACAGGTTCCCTGCAGCCCTGAGGTCCCCTCGCCTGCTGTCTGGGACTGAACCCCCAGGTGCTTCTTCTGAGCACGTCGCACCTCAGTTGCAGCTTTGCCTGGAGACTGAGCAGTGGAGTTCAGAGGAACATGCTGCCCTGCTCCGAGAGCCATCGCGGCCACATGTCCTCAACTGGAGCCTCCGTCCTCCTCCTCAGTTTCCACTGGAAAGGGCCTCTTTATACAGGGGTCCATGTCCCTGAGGGGGGCACGGCTGGGGCCAGGGGCAGTGAGCTGTGCCATTAGATCACTCAGAGGCCCCTCTCTGGTTGTGACTGACCCGCCAGTGAGAAATTCACCTAATGGGGCAGTAGTCACTGGGCCCATCCCTCGGTTGGGCACCATCACCCCAGCACGCCCAGCTTGCAAATGAAGCCACGCCCTCTCCAGACGCCTCCCACCTGCTGTTAGTGTGTTGAAAGGGCCGCCAGGTGCACCAGGCCACACCTGTTTGGAGGGAAGCTGAGGGCTTTGGGCTCTGATTTTGCAGCCAAGTGCTTGGACCTCAGTTGGTGGCCAAGGGGGAGCACCCCCTGTAGCTGCTGATGCCCGGGGTGCTTCAGAGCGAACCTCGACTTTGCCCAGAGATGGCTCGGGCCTAGAAGGCTTGGGGCCCCGAGGCAAGCGTTTCCCGCCTAACAATGGGAAGTGTGGAAGTGCATTCACTTTCTGATGGAAGCAAAGCTCTTCCCTTGAAGCCTAACTGGCCAGGCCTCCAGCCAGCGCTCGATTCCCTGTGAACCGCAACCTCCCGGCAGTGAGGGGGCGCTCCAGCATATAAAG